ACAATTCGATTTAGGGAACTTTCACTTTTTCGGGTATAGGACCTACCGTCAGCTCGGGGACTAATGGTGATTCAACTTCCAAGTATACATGACCCGATTTTGAGGGCGGATAATTTGGTGGTTGTCGCAAATGGGCAACACGTTGTGCTTCAAATTCCAGTTTGGCCACACGTCTCCTCAACATCTCGTTTTCCGAATTCTCACGTCGGTTAGGACGATTTGTCCCGACTTGCTGACGCAAGTAGGGAGGATTGTCAAATTGTTGATGTATCGGTTGAACGGGGGCGACGTCTCTCTGAATTCTTCGAACATGTCCTGGATAGCTTCAGCTGTTGCCTCTTGCATGTTATTCCCGTTCGGTGGCGGTACTATTCCCGCCGGGGGACCTTGGTGATTATTATCACGCGGATGAGATGTAGCGTGTGAAGCAGCGGGATGGATATCGTTGCGAGGAGGTGGTTGTATTACTTGCAATTGCCTGGCGGGTTCTATTGGATTTACCATCGGCCCCAAAGGAGCATGCGACGTACTGGGAATTACTTGTGCCAACAAAGCAGTGATTCCTTTCGCAATTTCTGGATTTTGTAGAAGCGCCGCTACCTCTAGTGTTACTGGGATACTAGTGACGCATTCTGTAGGCTGATTCGCAGGATTATTGTTGAGTTGTCCTGTAGGTTGATTTGGATTAATCACATGTTCGCCAGCCATGGGATGATCTTGTCTTGATTTCGACATGATTGAAACACAGATAGAACAATGGTAGAGTAGTAGGGGTCGTCTGCACGTCGAAGATTAACCTTAAATACTTATAAGGCCCTCCTTCTAGCGCCAAACTGTTGTAGTATGGATTTGTAACAACATAATTAATGTGTATATGACATAGATTAATGCGGCAAATAGCAGTAATATGAGATTTTATTGACTGATGAATGGTCGGTGTGTTCTTAACCGAGATGAAAGTGGTACAGAGTGCCCTCTCCCCCCTTCTGAGGGAATTCTAAGCTATATATAGTAACTTTTTTGGTACACATTGTTCGAGGTCTCCAATCATTCAGGATTTGTACGAAAAGTAGCTTTAAATGGGCGGTTTTAACAGTTGGACCCACGATCATCATGATGATGGGCACGAAACGTAAGGAGGTCGTGTAGGCGCCTTGTCACCTGCCTCGGTATTGATGAACTCGATTACTTCCGAGGTGGGTTGTGGAGTCGGTAAACGGTTGTAAGATTTGAGGGAGTCGGTGACTGCCTGAAGTCGGAGAGGACTTGGAACGTGGGTTCTGACAGTTTGCCATGTCGGTGGGAAGGAGCAATTCTGAGGTCACGTATCATGTGTAAAAGAGAAAAGATTCTGGAACTATCCTACGTCTTTGTCGTTATATTAAACTGTTGTCATTGCAATTGCGTTATTCGTAATCCAATTTACCCGGAATAATGTACTAATTACCAAGTCGGTGGTCAACAGTTTAATTTATATAATTTAGTTTATTATATTTTAATTTATTAGAAGTTTATAGTTTATTAATTTATTTTAATATAATTTACACTATGTTTTAAATTTAATTTATACATATGTAATGTCGATATATATATATATATATATATCAA